ATGATAAGGATCTAATCCACTATTACTATCAATATTAAAAACAGTTTCATTAACATGCGTATAATCCCGTATTTATTCTTAATTGAGAAGATTTTCTAGTTTTAGATTTAGAAGTACTACCGATTTTTTTATTTTTCTTGAATTTTGAGTTTCATGAATTAGTGATCAAATCAACTATGATTTTTTTACACTTCTCAACATTGTTTTTACCTGAATCCGTATTCAAATATAAAAAGTGAGTAAATTATATATAATACGAAAATATAATGAAAAGTTGTAAACAAATAATTAGCTAAATAAGTAGAGATTAGAGAGTAATTACTCACAAAATAAATAATTAAATGCAAATAAAATAAATAAACTAAAATGAAAAGTGAGTTGGAACGAATGTACCAAACGTCTACTTAAAAAAGTAGACGCGTATGACCAAAAGCCGAAAATTGAAAGTTGAATTTTGAAGCTCCAAAGACCAAATTCGTAATCCACCAAATCTTTCAAACTAATATTAAATTCGTAATTTAAAAGAGAAAAAGAGATTAGAGACTTGAGACTTTTGAGAGTTGTTGAGAAAGTAGAAGATAATATTTTTGTGAGTGAAAAGAATGAAAGATTGGGGGTATTTATAGTTAAAGAAAAGGATAAAAATGTAGTTTTTAGAAGTTTGGGGTACCGGCACCTCCCGGTTCCGTTGCCAGACATAGAAGGGAGTAATAGTTTTTATCTTTTTATTATACGTAGATAGGCGCAACATTTTTGAATTTTTTTAAACTCACTCAAATTCAAAAGTCATATCAGATAATAAGTGATTAAATTTATTTTAATTAAAAAAGATTAAAACTTATTTTAAATAAATAAAATATATCATTTAAATATCATGACTATTTATATATATATATATATATATATAAAATTCCTACCGCTTAGATTATATTAATTACTAATATATTTCTTAAATTTAAAATTCATTTTTTATACTATAATATTCTTATTAGTTTTCCTAATCTAGTATTTTATATACAAATGTAATAATCTATTTATTTAAAATAATATCGAATTTTTATTATTATGATTAAATATAATGAAGGAAAAATAGTACAATATTTCGGAACACTCATAACTAAACTGATTTGCATTTCAAAAAAAGTCATTTGTCAATTTTTAAACCATCTTCTCTAATTAGTTATTTGGCTTCATGTAAATGTTTTGAATTGTTATTTTTTTAATATATATATCTCACCTATATTTGAGGTAATGGGGACTGGGGTGAGGGTTTGTGGGGGTATTAATTTATATAGTACAACTTTTTTTTTAAAAATAAATAAATTGAATGTTAACATATGTAAAAATTTAAATTGGTTATAAATTTTTTTCACGATAACTTTTTATTTTTAATATTAAAGATATAAATATTTAACTTTTAAATTTAACTTAAATTATTTAGAATAATATTTAGAGTAATTAATCCTATTTTGCTAATGATTAGTGAAAAAGTAACAAATGAATAGTTTTTTTATTTTAATTCGTATGCTAAATTAACTACAATGATAATACAATCAAAAAATTAAAACAATTTAAAGCACTAAAGCGGGAATTGTTTATGTTTTGCATCCTCCGTTCTCTTTTTAAAGGAAGTTATTAAAGGAAGAAGAAGCCGTATATAATATTTAATGTGTTACTTATTATTCTTTTATATTTAGTATTTTAATTTATTAATTAATAGTTAATTCAATTGTAAATTAAATACATTCATACTCCTCTGAAGTAGAATAATTAACTGTAAATTAACACTAAATGTACTTATCCATGAACATCATATTAATGATAAAGTATAAACCTCTTGACATAATTAAATGGTGTTTAATCCTATAGTAATATTCCCTCAGCAAACACAACTGCAATGTTAAGTTGACGCTTAAGAATCTAAGGATTTTAGTAGAATGTTGCCCGTGAATATAATTACATACAATCAGATGTAACTAACCTTCAACACAATAACCATGTAAACTTAGCAGATTTTTATATCGTACTTGAATCAAACTCTGAACTTCAATAATAAATTTCCTCTAGGCTTTGTTGCTCCACATCTTTAGCCTTTAAATCACTATCATAATAAGGATAAATAAGCCCATCCAACTAACAAATAATGGAGAATGAAAAGATTACGTACATGAGAGTGAAATAAAAAGTCATAAAAAAATAGAATGGTTCACTACCATAAACTTCTTTTACCATATGTCGTAAATTTCTTCTTTTTCTCTCATACCAAAACTGTTATATTTTGTGTTAGAGAAGAGATAAAAAAAATATTGTGATTTTGTTAATTTTGATGTTGATACTTTTGTTTGAATACGAATTTAAAGAATTAGTTTTCAGAGGGTGTAGAGTAGTAGTTTTAAGATGGTGTTTTCAAATGATAAGGTTAGTGTTTTTTTTTTTTGAAATTCAAATTTTTCTATTTTTTTTTGAAATTTTGTAACTTTTTTTGAAAATTGCAATGCATTTTTTAAATTTTGAAAAAAGTGGAAGAAAAAGGGATAATTGGTTTCAACCGTCCTTAATTTTATTTTTTTTAATCTTTTTCTATATTTTATGTGACTTTTTAAAATGTAAAAAGTGTGGTAACTATTTTGAAAAAAAAAAGTAGTTGTAGTTATTTTCAAAACATTTTAAAATTTAACTTATTTTAAAATTTAAAATTTTATTTTTCAAAATTGAATAATTAAGAAATGTTGTGGTGCTGACACATGATACTTTTTCTTGTCCTATTATATATAGATAGATATATAGATAGATTAGAGTTTTCACCCAAAAAATATGATTATTCAGTTCAAACCGATCAATCAAATCACATAGATACATCACTTTCTATAATTAAAAATAGGGATCTTCATACACTTATGTTTAAGAGTGTAGATTTTAATCATAAAATTATTATTTGACTTGTCAAAACTTGCATATATGATATAACAATCATGTCCAACCTTTCCTACACCTGACCTTAACCTTTTTGGGATCATTAGCATTTTTCTCTAACTGAATACTTTTTAGAAGTAAATATTTGATAATAGCCTTCCTTAACACTTCAAATCCTCAAAAATATCTTTCAAATTTTTGGTTGTAAAATGTGCATTCCATTAAGTTATCCTAATTAGTTCCGCTAGTTTGATTAGCTTAGAAATCAAAACAACATAATTTTATTTAATTAAAAATTAAATATACTTACCGAATAACGTAGGGATTAAAACAAGAATTAAGTAATAACTTAGGAACTAAAGTTACTATAATGTTTAAGCAAATTTTAAAATTGCTTATAAGCACTTAATTTTAAGCTAAAATGATAAAAATAAGCCAAAATTCAATTCAAATAACTCTTAATTCAAGCACATTAAGGAAAAAATTGTCTAAGTTTTGGAAAAAAAACTGACAAAAAAAATCCAAACTCCCACTATCAACAAAGAAGTCATTTTTATGTCAAAATAAACTTGTTTTATTCTTTTAAAATTTTAAAACTTATCCTAAATATTTTATATAAATATTTTTTTGAAAACACCTCTAAACTTGAAGCAAATTATTAGTTTCGTTCCTGAATTATTGACAGTCTTAAAAACACATCTCTACTTGACTAACTGAACTCCAATACACCCTCGATCTGCCACAGGACATAGCTAGTGACCTCAAACTCTTATAGGAGCATGAGACTCTTAATAAAAGGCCGAGAAAAGTGTTGAGAACACCCCTAAATTTGACAAAAATTTAAGAGTGTATTTCACTCAAGTTACAAGATCATGGTATTTAAGTTCAGTTAGTCAATTAGGGGTATTTTTAAGACTGTCAGTAGTTCAGGAAAAACTTGGTCGAGTCTAATATACTAATCTTTAACCTACCGCGGCCACCATTCCACTACCTTTCATGGCCGATCTGGCCGCTGGTCAGCCGTCGCTTCAGGTTGGCCGGTCATCACCTCTAACATTAGAAGCTTTTCCACCTCTCATTCACCCAGGGTCAGTTAGTCTTAGCAAAGATAACTCTATAAAGCCTAAATTGCCCAACGTGCCTATGATTTTGCCTAGCGACCAATTGGAAAAAATAGAGAATTTTGCAGTTGTTCTTAAAAATCTAAACCAGTCTTCACAATATAAAAAAAGGGTGGATCCCATACCAGTCAAGAAAGTGGATTATCACGATGGAATTCCTAGGATTTCTTGGACTGATGAGGAGGTAGAGCGTATGAATATCATTGAGACCTTACAATATTCTGTAATTGGGAAGTTTTCAAATGGATGGCCAGAATTAGAAGATCTCCGTTTAGCAATTCCTACCCAATGCAATGTCAAGGGTGAATGTACCGTTGGATTAATAAGAAATAGACATGTTCTAATCAGAATGGAGAATCAAGAAGATTTAGTTAATATGATGTCAAAAAGTGTTTATTACATTAAGGCTAAGGACGGGTATTCATATCGCATGAGGCCTTTGATCTATGATGCAAAATTTAAAGTAGATGAAGAAACAACCCAGGCCATGGCATGGATCTCTTCCCCAAATCTAAAGCCTACATTTTTCGTGAAAGAATCCATATTCTCGTTGGCATCCGCAATAGGTAAACCTATTCAACTAGACCTTGCTACCATTAACAAAACGCGTCCATGTTGTGCTAGAGTCAAAATTCAGGTTGATTTGCTATCTGACCTCCCTAAAAGCATTGAAGTGGAAGTACTTAATGAGACTAGTAAGGTATCTAAGGATAGAAACAGTGAAAATACAATATGATTTTATCCCTAAATACTGCAAGCACTGCAAAGTACAAGGCCATGATGACAAGGAATGCAGGACCTTTCATCCTGAATTGAGGAAGGCTACCAATGATGAAATAGAAAAGACAGAACAAGTAACTCAGCAAGGTGACTCGAATAAAGCCAAAGAACACACAGAAGTGCAGTGGAGAAAGGGGGTTAAGAAGCATTGGAATGCTACTCACAGAGTTTTCACATTAGCGCCCAACTCCTTAATGAATGACAAAGCATGTACACCTACTAAGGAGGTCAAAACCAGCAATACCTTTGGATCCTTAGCTGAAGGAACAGAGGAAGACTCACAAACACAAGAAATAAGCAGTGCAAGCAATCAATCTAGTAATGTTAATGGATCTGCTAGAGGACTGATGGAGAAAGAAAAACAAGGTAAAAAATGTCAGCATCATTCCTCTAAGGATTGGATTAGTCATGCATTTGCTAAATATAAAGGGAAAGGATCATCTGAAGAGGTGGCCGGAGAGGATGGATACATAGATTTGCAGAGGAGGGATGAGTCATCAGTGGAAATGGTTGATATACCTGCAAAAGAAGATAAAGTTAATAGAGAGTCAGTGCAAACAGCAGCCACTGAAAGAGGTGTAGATCATCAAATAATTACTGACATTGTGGTCGCACAAACCACAGGAGAAGGTATAAGTGAATGTACCTTAATGAAAGGAATTGCTGAAGCCATTTATGAAGTCCCATTGCAAATTCAATTAGCACCTTATGGGGAAGGGAGTTTTCCACATGCTCAAGAGGAAACAAGACTACATTTAACTAATATAGAAGAAAATAAAGAAATAGAGAAAATAGGAGTAACCAAGCCCATGGCAGGAAGTCCTCAGAAGTCACCACCTATGGAAAACCTGCATGCATTAATATCTCATTAGATTCAACATGAAACAACAGAGGGTCAGATTACAATATATGCTGAAACAACAAAACAAACAATAGCAGATAAAGAAGAAGACATGAATGAATCTAATGCTAAAAGTGTGTGTAGTGCAACTGGTTTATCCCCAAGTACTCTATCCAAGGGTAAAAAGGGAGAAAAAAAGGGAGATGGTAAAGGAGAAAAGGTAGATAAAGGTGATGCCATTATTAGACCAACAAGGATACAAGCTAAGAGGGTGGTTAAATCAATATCCAAATGACAAAAGCCTTATTCTGTAACATAAGGTCTGTGGAAACACAAAATGCTTTTCACAGAGTTCAAATGTTACACAGACATCACAAATTCTTTCTTATTACTTTAATGGAGCCATTCCAAGATACTACTCATATTCAAAGATTCAAGAGAAGATTGGGGATGCAGTATGTAAATTATAACAGTAATGGGCAGATCTGGATATTCATTAGAGAACATATTCAAGTGGGAGTTACTTCAGACTCTGAACAACAATTGACTCTTCACTTATCCATGGAGGATGACCAACAATTCTTAACTACAGTAGTATATGCTAAAGGCTCTTCTATTGAAATGTTGAGTTTGTGGGATGATATCTATACTTTGAGTCAAGAATTTTCCTTGCCATGAATGGTGGGAGGGGATTTCAATGTTATTCTAGGGGATGAAGAAAAGATATGTGGATTACCAATATATCCTCAGGAATATGAAGATTTTGCCTTTTGTGTCAATTCTTGTGACTTGTTTGATTTGCATTTTTCTGGTAGCCCATTCACTTGGTGGAATGGTAGGATTGATGCATGATGTATTTTCAAGAGACTTGATAGAGTTGTTATCAATCAATCTATGCAAGATTTGATGGGTAATGTGGAAGTACAACATCTTGCTAGAACAGGCTCTGACCATGCTCTTCTATTGTTGACTTGTGGTGGATCTAATAAGCCTGTGTCCAAGCCTTTCAATTTTTTGAAATTTTGGACGGAGAGGGATAACTTTATAAAAGTGGTCTTAGATAATTGGTGTGCTGATTATGATGGTGATATTTTTGTCCAGCTGAAGCAGAAGTTAAAGAAAACTAAACTTTCCCTTAGCATGTGGAGTAAAGAAAAGTTTGGGGGATATCTTCAAACAATTGGTGATTAGGGAAGAAATTGTAAGGTTGAAAAAAGAATTGTTTGAACAAAATCCCAACTCTTTTAATAGAACTATTTTACAGAAAGCACAGGCAGAACTCAAGTTATATATTCATTATGAGGAGGAATTTTGGAGACATAAATCAAGTTCCCAATGGTTTTATGAAGGTGAAAAGAATACCAAGTTCTTTCATTGCTTGGTAAAAGGGAGAAGAAAGAGGTTAACCTTGAAGAGAATTCTTAAAGAAGATGGAGGTTGGGCAGAAGGAGATTTAGCAATTGCTATAGAAGCTCTAAAGTTTTTTGAAAATCAAATTTTTAGAAAGTTCTTGCAATCCAGATAAATCTCTTCTCCAACACATTGCTCCTCAGGTTACTTTGGCTGAAAACCTAAGGATTAAAGCTTTACCTTCTGAAGAGTAGGTTAAAAAGGTGGTTTTTGAATTAAATGGTGATACTGCAAGTGGACCTGATGGTTTCACTGGTCACTTCTATCAACATTGTTGGGAGATAGTAGGAGGTGATATTCTGAAAGTTGTTCAGGCCTTTTTTCAAGGGTGCACCCTCCCTAAATCAATTACTCATACTAATTTGGTTCTTTTTCCAAAAAAAGATGTGATCAAATCCTTTTCAGACTTAAGACCAATTAGTTTGAGTAGTTTTCTCAATAAGGTGATTTCAAGAGTGATGCATGATAGAATGGAAGATTTATTGCCCAAATTGATCTCACAAAATCAATCTGGTTTTGTTAAGGGAAGGAGTATTACTGAAAATGTGTTGCTTGCTCAAGAGATCATCCTAATATAAGAAAGATGGGTAAACCTGCTAATGTGGTAATCAAATTGGATATGGCTAAAGCCTATGACAGGGTGAACTGGAAGTTTTTGATTAATGTGATGGAAATGATGATTTTTGATGGGGATATATTGGATCTGGTTTGGAGGATTTTGGCAAATAATTGGTATTCCATTCTCATTAATGGACAAGCCCATGGATTCTTTCATTCTTCCAGGGGTGTTAAACAAGGAGATCCCCTATCTCCTGCACTTTTCATTCTCTCTGCAGAAGTATTATCAAAAGCTTTTAACAGTTTGTTTTCTTATACAGATTTTAAACCCTTTGGGATGCCTAAATGGAGTGAGAAGCTGAATCATCTTGCTTATGCATATGATACTATAATATTTGCTGCAGCAGAGGAAAAATCTTTACAGTATATAATTGAGGTATTGAATAACTATGAGGAGCAATTTGGACAGAAAATTAATAAGGAGAAAAACTTTTACTACATGTTCAACAAAGTTGCAACTGCAGATGTTCAAGTTGTTGAAAGTGTTACTGGTTTTGTGAAAGCAAATTTTCCCTTGATCTATCTATGATGTCCACTTGGACATGCAAAGAAGAAAAAGGCCCACTTTTCAGAGTTGATTAAAAATATTCAAAACAAGTTGTAACTTTGGAAAGGAAAATTGTTGTCATTTGGAGGGAAATCAGTTTTAATCAATAGTGTTTAGCAGAGTATTCCTATTTATTTGTTATCTGCTATTGTGCCTCCTAAGTGTGTGATAATGGATATCCATAGGATGTTTGCTAAATTTCTATGGAACTCTAAAGAAGGGGGGAGGGCAAAACATTAGGTATCTTGGCATGACATATGTCTACCAAAAGAAGAAGGAGGATTGGGATTTAGATCCTTATTTGATGTATCAAAAGATCTTTTTGCAAAGCTATGGTGGAAATTCAGAACCACAAACACCCTATGGTCTACTTTCATGTGGAATAAGTATTGTAAAAGAATTAGACCTCAGAAGGTAGAATGGAAAGGTGTTTCACAGATTTGGAAGCATATGCTACAAGCCAGACTTTTTTGACCAAAATATCTGGTGGGAGACAAGAATTGGTCATACTAGCTTGTGGTATGATAATTAGATACAACTAGGGGCTATACATTCATATCTTCCTATTTCTTATGAGATTAATGAAGCCTATAAAGAGGTTCAACAGATCAGAAATGAGGAAGGATGGAACTATAATCTGATGGAGGAGTTATTCCCTACTAAAGTGTGCAACCAAATTCATAATGTTTTTGGAAGGCTGCAGAAATCTGAGGAAAGAGATAAGGCATGGTGGATGCCCAAAAGTTCTGGAAAATTTACTGTGGAAAGTGCATGGGAACTTTCCAGACAAAGAAAAGGAAAACAGGAAGGGATTATGAATATCTGGGAATCAGGAATTCCTTTTAGAATATCCTTTTTGCTATGGAGAATTTGGTTTCAAAGAATTCCTATTGGGGAGGTTTTGATCAAGATAAAAGTCATGATTCTGTTGTGTGTTGCTGTTGCAATAACGATTCTTAAGAGACCTTTGAACATCAGTTTATTACATGTCCTATGGCTAATGAACTGTGGGAGTTGTTTGCAGATGTTGTAGGGATTCAAGGTCCTTTTTTACAGCTTAAACATACAATTGATAAATGGTGGAATGGAAAATGTGTACCAAAACTTAAACCTTTGTTCAAAGCTGTTCCTGTGTTCATAATATGGAAAATTTGGAAAAGAAGGAATAAAATTACACATGGAGGGAAGATGTCTAAATTCTCTCTGTTGGCAGCATACAGATATCCTTGGTTAGATAATATTCCTATGTTTTGGCCGCTAATTGTGAAAGCATTTGATAATTACAGTCCTCTAATCTCTAGTAAAATTGTTAGTTGGAGGCTCCCCGAGGAAGGTAAGTTTAAATGCAACAGTGATGGTGCTTACAAGGATAATATGAACCTCAGTGTCTATGCATTTTGTATTAGAAATCACTTAGGGGATTTCATGTATGCAGAAGTGAACAAGGTATTGGTAGGATCTGCACTTGAGGTAGAAGTGAAAGCTTTGGGTGCTGGATTAGAATATTGCATCTCGAATAATTTGCTTCCTCTAATTGTCGAAACAGATTCTCTTCTTGCTAAGAAGATCATAGACGGGATTTGGGAAATTCCTTGGGCTATTGTAGTGGATATAAGAAGAATCCAAGGGCTGGTGAGAGAGCATACTGTGGAGGTGTTGAACACTTACAAACAAGGGAATATGTTAGCAGATTTTTTTACTAACCACATCTTCATTGCAGGTACTAACAACAAACAATTTCATACTGTTTCGGAAATACCACAGAGGGCCAAGGCGATTATCCAAATGGACAAACAACAGATTTCGAACATCAGATTTACAAGGTGTCAAAATAGATTTCAAAGTCATGACACATGAGCTGCAATACACTAATTCAAGTAAAAAAATACAAGCTTATTTGAAAACACAGGCAGTGCAAACGATAAAAAATATCGTGCTATATTTTCAGACCATGAAGAAAAAGCATTTTTGTTGAAGCTATTCTCTTGAAATGTCCGAACAAATAGGGAAGACTTACCTAATGCTCTAGCTCCTTATGCAGTGGTATTAGCTTTCTGAGCTCAATCTGCAGAGGATAAAGAAACAAAGGGTGAGTCGTCCTGTTAAGGGGACCTTTCAAGCTTAAATGCTTCCACTCAGTGATCTTATCTAGCTTTGAAAAAGATAAACGACTTTTGAGTTGAAGAAGTCTTCAAAGAGTTTGAATCCATTGCATTAGTGAGACTGGTTAATGCCCGGATGGATGTCGCTCAAATTTAAAAATTTGTATTGAAGATAGAGATCGATGGGTGAGGTTGCTGCTATGCCAAGGGAGAAGAAGACCGTCATTTTCCTTTTTTGTTTCTGGGTTTCTTTAATTTTTTTGTAGTTGTTTACATGGGCTTGGGTCACTTTTGGACCCAAGCTCCTTAGTTGTATTAGTTTTTCTTTTGATTTTTAATAAATGGGCCCTGCCCAATCTTTAAATTAAAAAATAAAAAAAAACTAATAATTTGGCTCAAGTTTATGGGTGTCTCAATACTTCTCTCTAAAGAAAAAAAAGCCTAACAATTATGTCCACCTACAATTCTATTTATCCAATGTCTAACAATGTTGTTCCTCTTCTCGGTCATCTAGTCTGAAAGACGTGCTTGTCATGAAAAGATTGTTGGTAAAATGTGGAAAGATTAAACGGAAAAGGGCCTAAAATATCCTCGAAGTATTGAAAATGGTAAACAACTATCCCTCTTCCACCTATTGGCTCTAAAATATCCTCCTCATCCACCTATTGGCTCACAAATACCCTCCTCATCCACCATTGGGTCCAATTTTAGCCACTTCATTAATGGAGCACCATTTAAAATAATTAAATAATCCTTTTAATTACGTGACGCTCAATCATTGGTTGCAATTTAATTATTTAATATAAATTTAAACTTGCCCATTACCCACCCATTTTAAACTAAACCTGCCCCAATACTTATTAAACCAGCCCAACCCAATACAAAAAGAACCCAATATTTTCATATGGCGTATCTAGGTTATCACATATGAGTTCAACTTAATACAAATTTTTCAATATGGAACATATATATAAATATATATATATATATGTGTGCGCGCGTGTGTGTGGGGCAAGCCTCTAACATTTAGCAAATACAGGGTAATAACTAAAACAACTCAATCAATCAAGATTTTTGGTATGATGTTTTTCTAATCATCAAGTACGAAAACTTGCACAACAATATCAACAGCACATAAAAATGCCCACAATGTGAAAGTCTGGATTTCATCAACGACAGGAGGCACAAAAAAATGTCCACAATGTGACTGCACAACAATATCAACAACACCCTTGATATAAACGCAATTTCACTTTAAAGTACAATTATGTATTTCCCTATTACAACTAACAATCATAAAAATGAAAATCCCACAAAACCACTCAAACAGATCAAAAAAATCAAACAAGGAGAAATACTCGTATGAAAATATTGGGTTCTTTTTGTATTGGGTCTGGCGGGTTTAATAAGTATTGGGGCGGGTTTAGTTAAAAATAGGTGGGTAATGGGTGGGTTTTAAATTATATCAAATAATTAAATTGCAATCAATGGTTGAGAGCCACGTAATTAAAAGGCTTATTTAATTATTTTAAATGGTGCTCCATTAATGAAGTGACTAAAATTGGACCCAAAGGTGGATGGGGATGGTATTTTGGAGCCAATAGGTGGATGAGGGGTAGTTGTGTACCATTTTCAATACTTTGAGGGTATTTTAGGCCCTTTTCCGAAGATTAAATTAAAGAATAGCTAGAATTACAATCGTTGTTGTTGTTGTTATTATTATTATTATTATCATTATTATTATTATTATTGCATAAATAGATTTTCATAATGAGTTGCGATATCAAAAGTGAAGAATCCGCACAATTTAGGCAATATTGGGTTAAAATTTGGAAATTTTCACTCCAAACTTCACCTGGATTTATCAAAAATATTCAGAAACTAGATAGAGTGCCCGTGTCAGCACGAACCCAATAAATGTTATTTTAAGTTGTTAATTATTATAATTTATAGTACGTAATTTTCATATTATATATGTTACTCCTTTGTCCCAATTTATGTGACACAAATGAATTTGAGAGTCAACCAAAGTTTTTATATGTTTTTAAAGATATTTTAAGTTGCTAGTTATTGTGATTTATAGTAATTTTTTACGTAATTTGCACATAATATATTTGTCCCGTTTTATGTGATACAAATGAAAATTTGAAAGTCAACCAATTTTTATAAGTTTCTTTTTATATTTAATTTGTTAAGTATTGTAATTTATAATACATTTTACGTATTTTACATAATATATATTGTTCCATTACCCAATTTATATATGATATATAAAGCAATAAAGTGTAAAATTTTAAAAAAGAAAACATTAAAATTACTAAATTAGCCGAGGCATCGAAGAAGGCATGTTGATGAAGTCATGCCTTGCTTGTAGCCTCTTGTCAAGTAAAGTATAGTAATAAAGTAATTTATGAAGTGAAGTGTATTTAAGGGCGTGTATTTCAGTGGTGAAGTTAAAGTGTAACAATTAATATAATGGCGTTGCCAAGGTCAAATGAAGAGACAATCCACTTATCATTGGTTAATGCAGCATCCTTTGTATCGATCAAGCTATGTGGTGAATCCAACTACATACCATGGAAAACCCAGATTGTTTGTCTCCTTCAAAGTCATGATTTACTTAAATTCGTTGATGGAACAATCCAAGAAGACGAAGAAGAAAAAGGGGATGAGGAAGATTATAACTTGCAAAGGAAAAGGAATGATGAGTTGGTTAAAGCATGCATCTTCGGTTCTCTTAGTGATCAACTTCTTAAGGATAAAGCGGTTCATGAATTAGATACTGCTAGACAAGTTTGGTTGGTTTTAGAGCAACGTTACAGCCCTAAACCTAAACTTCAAGGTACCTACAAAATCCCCTTCTTTATTAGTATATATTTGTTTGCTGAATATATATATATATAAATTTGAGGTATTCCCTTTTTTTAATTCCATTCCACATAACAGCCCAACTCTAAGGGGTAGTTTAGTGCAAGTGAGGTGGAGGGGTTTGAACCCACAACACTAGTGTGAAAAACATTTTCATTACCCCTTCCTTATCATTGAGCTGTCAATCAATTTTATTAAGGGGTTCACAAGTTAATATATATATAATTATTTAATTTTCTAATACAAATACAGGGTTTACAGAAAAGCCCACAAATCTCCACCTAGCTCCGCCCTTGAGAGTAATCCATGAATCACATTCTTCACTACTCTTTATTTTTATGATAATTCTTTATATTTTTCTATTAGAAAATCACACTATCTATATAAGTATAATTTTTATTTATGAGTTTATTTGACCAATTCTTATGTTTATTTATGTTTTGATTTCTCTATTATTGAATTACATATTTTTAATTATATATTCTTGTAGTCACTTGAAAGCTTGTATTTTGTATATCAATTAAAATGGAAATAACTTTAATATTTTATGATTTAAGAGTGATATGTACTTAAATGAAGTAATATAAGAATAATAAATCTTCTTTTACTTTAACAAACTTAAGATAGAAGTTATATTTTTAAGCAAAATAATATGAAAATTTAAAGTTTAAATACATTCGATATCATCATGAAAATGCACACACAAAAATATATAATATAAATAATATGAAAGTTTTATTTTTAACAATGAATAACTAAAACCTGCAAAAAAATTATAAAAAAACAAATAAAAGAAGGATATTTTTGTAAACAAACAACTTGTTTTTATAATTTATGCAAGACACATTATTTTGAATACAACAAATCAAGCAATCAATAAAAAATAATCTCAACATAACATATCTCATCATAATTGATTCCATTATAACTCGTATTAAAACCAAACCACCCTTAAATGATTAGATTTATAATTGAAACTCTCTAGAGAGTTATCTGCTTCCTAGATATATAAATTAGATATTTAACTAATAGTAGTATATTTTACAACACATATTACATTATTTATACACATATTATATTATTTATATTTATGAAAAGTAGTGGGAATAATAATGGGAGCATTGATTTCATATTTGCTTTTTCTAAAATTTGTCATATTAAATTATACTTATCATTATTGATACTAGATAACTTGATTGTCTACAAAAATAATAAAAGGCTAAATATCTAGATAGTATTATAAAATAAAGATATTAGAAGTTAAATAACAAAGAAAAAGAGAGAAAGAGTAGTAATGTTAGTAATCTTTTTCCTTCCAATATTTCAATATGTACGACTTTCTACAGATCATAAGAGGTTTTCTTGATAAGGTTTATAATAATAAGGTAGCAAACAATGTCTATAAAAATAACTATGTGCACTCTCTCTCTCTCTTCTTCTAGAATTTCTTTGTACATGGACAACTAAGGGAGTGTTGTAATTAATGAAATAGGGATGTCATGTAACAAATCCACATTTCATGACTTTTATGATTTATGCACGACTTTGAAAACACAATATACATATATATATATATATATATATATATATAAGGTAAGAGTGTGTTTTCAAAGTCGTGCATAAATCATAAAAGTCATGAAATGTGGATTTGTTACATGACATCCCTATTTCATTAATTACAACACTCCCTTAGTTGTCCATGTACAAAGAAATTCTAGAAGAAGAGAGAGAGAGAGTGCACATAGTTATTTTTATAGACATTGTTTGCTACCTTATTATTATAAACCTTATCAAGAAAAATCTCGTGGAAAAATGAAACTTAGTTAAGGAAAAAAGAGTGTGTCATGACCCAGACCGTCGCGATAGGCACCCACACTAACTCTCCGGTGGGAGAACCAGTACTACAACCCAAAATAAACCACTCAACCAAAACTAAGACATTTAAAGATACGGAAGAAGGTTTAAATGTCTAAAGAAAAGGAAAATAGGGAATTCCCATAAACTCCAAAAAGTCTAACAAACAAACACGGAAATAATGCCTAGAACCTGAAAATCAATGTACCAAAACATCTAAAGTTCAAAAAGTCTAAGAAAATGGGTACAACCCAATTAACATACGAATATATAACTAGAAAGTCTTAGTCCGAAAAGAGTGGACTAAAACATAGCAAGAACTCATGGAAGCCTAGAAGAACTGGCTCACCCTTGAATTCGATTGATCACTGATCTTCTAAACGAGGTATGTCAGTAGCCGCCTGAAGATGCCCTATACTCAACAAAGAAAGAGCAAGTGCAATATCAATACACAACCACAATGTACTGGTAGGATCACACGGCTATCCCAATAAGTGAAACATATACAAGAAATCACAACATAATAAAATAGGCATACACCGAACATATACAATATCAGTCATCATTTCATGATCAATGTACAATTCCACATTCTCAATAATACATCTATATGACAAGTCAATGGTCCTCTTATGGAACCCACACCCAAACTGTTAGTGTATCGTACCAGATCCAAGTTAGTGTGCCGGACGTGACACCCGATCCCATATAGCGCTGGAACGTGGCAACCCGATTCAAGTTAATGTGTTGGAACGTAACACCCGAACCATTCAATAAGCCACAATCACAATCACAATGTACATTCTCATAATCATACAATCAAGTGTTGATTCATGGCATACAATCATTCATTCATAGTAATTTACGATTAGTGTGATCAATAATGCAACATTCGCATACGTACATGCATTATTATGAAGTAATTACTAACATACATCACACCACATTGTACTCAAAACCATCACCTACCTCGAATAAATCTTGAACCCTCATAAGAAACTTGATTCTTTCCTTTTCGGATTCTTTCCTCTTGCTCTAGGTCTACAAACAAACAATTCAATACGGGGATCAATAATTAAGGTCTAATTTACCCGAATTATGACAAACCTAATAACCCAAGACCCAAATTATGATCTTAAGGTGCAGCTAGGGCTTTTCCCACCATCTAAAATAGTTCAAAACCCTCCCCCAACAATATATGATCAAGAATCTAAGTTCTACGAATCGAAAAATAGATTAGGGGAGTAAAATCCTTACCTGTAGCACCAAATTTCGTGGAAAATTGTCAAGAAATCGCCTAAGGCCCTCCTAGCTCTCAAAAATGAAACTTGCAGAATAATGTCATTTTTGGGGTTTATTTTAAACTTAATTCGCGATTGGCCCGCCGCTATGGCGACCCTTATCCCGCCACAGCGGCCCCGCCCTGGCGGCTTGCGTGGAGATAGAATGTCGGGATTTGAGTGTCAAACCCCCATTTCAAAACACACCCTCAACTCATGACACTCAAAAACTACCCGTTCACGCTAAGACTAATTTTGGGAGTTCTTCTCACCCAAATTTAATTTTGTTAAGTCGTACGGGTTCCTTAACGTCTTAGCTATCCACTCATGCGATCAAATTCATTATTAGATCTCTATTTTGTTACCAGATTTCCCTAGACCTCACTTATTCTGATTTCGTCCAAATCTAGAGTAGGCTAGGAAATTTTAAGTTACTACGAAAAAGTTTTTTGGTCCAAATTTTTCCCCGTTGGCTTTTCTATAACGACAGAAATAGGTCGTTACAGAGTGAAGCACATATTTATTCCCTTTGATAAAAACATCATTTAATATCTTGAAGACGACACATTCCAATTTTGTATCTTAGTTTCTCAAAGGTTGAAGTTGGTAATGTATTAATAAACATATATGTTAAATTATCACTTGAGCAAACTTTTTGAACGTCTATATCACCTTTCTTTTGAAGATCATGAGTGAAAAAGAATTTTGGTGAAATATATTTTGTTCTATCTCCTTTAATGTATCATCCCTTTAGTTGAGTTATACATGCAATATTGTGTTCATATAATATTGTTGGAACATCTCTTTTCAAAGAAAGACTACATGTTTCTTGAATGTGTTGAGTTATTGATCTCAACCAAACACATTCTCGATTTGCTTCATGAATAACTATTATCTCTCCATGATTGGAAGAAGTGGAAACCATAGTTTGTTTTGCTGAGCGCCATGATATAGTTGTACCACCACATGTAAATAAGTAGCCTGTCTACAATCGACCTTTATAGGGATCATAAAAATATCCTGCATCTGCATAACCAATCAATTATAACCTGGATTTATTTGAATAAAACAATCTCATATCAATGGTCCCTCAGAGGTATCTGAATATATGCTTAATTCCATTTCAATGTCTTCGTGTTGGAGAAGAACTAAACCTTGCTAACAAGCTTATTGAGAAAGCTATATCTGGTTTAAAATTATTAGTAAGATACATTAATTCACCAATTGCACTAAGATATGGTATTTCAGCACTAACAAGTTCTTCATTTTCATGAGGTCCGAATCCTTATTAATATCAAGAGATCTCACAATCATCGGGCTACTCAATGGATGTGCTTTATCCATGTAAAATCTCCTCAAAATATTCTCAGTATATGTTAGTTGATGAACAAATATCACATTTCAAAATGTTCAATTTGTAGTTCAAGACAAATTTTTGTCTTTCCGAGGTCTTTCATTTCAAATTTCTTTCAGACATTTTACTTCCTTTGAAAGCTCCTCATGAGTTCCAATGATATTCAGATCATCAACATATACAACTATTATGACAAATTCAGATCCAGACCTTTTCCTGAAGACACAAGGACAAATTGGGTCACTATTAAATCCTTCTTTTAGAAAATATTCACTAAGATGATTATACCACATTCGCTCAGATTGTTTCAATCTGTATAAAAATTTCTGAAGCTTTATTAAACAATTTTCTCGAAAATCATTGTATGCTTCAGAGACTTTGAATCCTTCAAGAATTTTCATAAAAATATTGTGGTCCAATGAATCATTAAAATAGGCAGTGACCACATCCATTAGGTGCATTTTAAGATTTTAATGAACTGCCAAA